AATTAAAATTAGTAAAAGCTTTAGACATATGTATAAAAAAGAAAATATATTTAGTAAATCTTTAATATATCAACATTATGGTGAAAAATATGTTTCTTATACGCATGAAGATCAATTTATATCCTTAGACTTGATAGAAAAATAATCTTATAAAGAAATTGTTAATAAAAATTTTCGACAAACTCATTTAGGATTAATAATAGAAAGGATTTCATAGAGAAAATCTAGGAGGCAGGAGCTAAAGTATTAGTATGTTTATACGAAATCAGTTTAACAGACATAGAACAAGGGCTACTAGAAAGCATAGAATTAGACATGAATAATAAAGATGGAATAATATACTTTACACCAGATTATTTAGTTAAGACTAAAAGTTTTCATAAAGATATTAAAATAGGAATAAAAAGCAAAGGGTATCAAATGAAAAGAGACGAGATAATTTGTTAATCTGTACAGGATTTATAGAAAGACTAAGTGGAAGTAGTACTACTAATTATAGATTAGAAAATAACCAAATAATTACTTTACTACGACAAAAAGGCATAAAAGCTATCCCAACAAAAAAATCCTCCTCGGAGACAAATGCAGGATTAGATTGAAATCTAAGAAACTTCTTAAAAAGACCTATATTAGTACCAGAAAATAATATTATGTACAAAAATAGCAATGGAACTTTAAGTATTAAGTTCGAAAATTATAACTATCGAGCATAACAGACAAAGCATAATGAAGAAAAAAATGAAGAGCAATGCAAATATTTTGAAATAGAAGACTATGATAGTGAAGATGAAATTGATGCATTAGATGAAGAAAGTCAGGTAGATGAAAGTGAAGACGACGAAAAAAATTTGGATATATAGATATGAAATACTATAGAAGTCTTAGAAAACCCAGAGAAATAGAATTGGAATGTTATTAGAAAAATACCAGCAAAATATAGAAACTAAAATGGAAGAAAGTAGTGAAGGTAATAAAATGACTAATATGGAAACTGACGAACCCGACGAACAATTTGGAAAAAGAAAATAACCCATGAATACGAATACGATATAGGAGGAAAGTATCATTTTCCTCTGCAAATTTATATGAATGGAAAGACAAAAAATATAAAAATCTAGGAAGAAGGATGCAGTTTACCAATAGCAAGCGATAGAGGATTAATTCTAAAATTAAATAATTGTAAACCGCAAGACGAACCTCATACTATAAACAAATGGGAAAATTCTGTAATTAGAGCATATAACAGTGTACCTATACAAATGACTGTAGAAGAAATGTGGGCTTATTTATAAACATACTTAGGAAAGACAACATTAGATATATATGTTACAGCCAAACGATTAAAATCAGATGAAATTAGATTAATAATGGACGGAGGAGACAACTCTATAATTTTACAAGCGTTATTATAGAAATAGTTATAGGATCTAACTCTAGTAGAGATAGCACTTACGAACAAAATAGAGTTAGAAAATTAGAAAAGTTAAGTATTAGTAATATGAAGTACATACTACCATTTTTACTAGATTTTGAAAGATTAGTAAGCACGGCTGATGAGTGTTCTACATTCATGATATTTATGTCACTTAATTCATTATTTTGTTATCCTTGAGAGAGCTTTAGGGCTTTTTAATGTGTGTTTTGATGTTGTGATATATGATGATGAAATTGAAGGAAATAAGCAAAAGTTGGCAAATTGGAGAAACATACTAAATTGTAAGAGATCCAAAGTTCGAGGACTAAAGTGCAAATACTCAAAAGTTATGTCGAACCTCATAATGAAGATTCGAGAGTGTTAGAAGTCAATTGGATGAAAAAAGAAGTCAAATGGATCAAATATAATCAAAGTATAATCAAACATCAATTTCCAACTGAAAAAGTTCCTGATTTTTAGTCTCATATTGAGACTCATTCTTGACATAGCAAACGTTCGAATTGAAAAATGATATCTGAAGCAAAGTTATAGCCCTTTAAGTTTTCTTTCCAATGCATTTTGAATCGCCTCAACTGAATATCAGGAGAAAATGTTATGATAGAAATACCGAAGGACGTGCACTACCGAATTTTCACCTGAAATGGGCGCTGCAGCGCCTCTGTCGCTGAAAATCAGCAACATCATGGGCGCCGAGGCGCCGCTGGGCTAGAAAACGGGTTTTTAATATTTTTAGATTCTTTACTTGGCCCAACTCAACTCTAATTCGTCCAAAACTCCAAAAATACTATAAACACATGATCAAAGACCTATTTTCAGAGAATTGGAAAATGGAAAAACATCAAAAGACTTGAGAAATCAAGCAAGGAGGCGGGAAGAACATCAAGGGAAATTCCAACTAAAGCTTCAAAAGAGTTCATCTTTCCCTTATTCCTTATGTTCTCTCATATAAATT